ATACAATCAAAATGCTTGTAATAAAAGCTCAGGACTTCAAAGGGGCATGTTTCATAAACTAAACTAAAATAGTTTATTAAATATTCACCTGTCCTGAGGAGATATCAAACAGGAAGGACTATCTGACGACTTGAGGCATTGCTACAGAACTACAACTGAAAAAGCAAGACCATGAACAGAAGGACTGAAAGCCAAATTTATGCTATAAACTGGAAACTCACAAGCTGGAAATATCCAAGAGAAACTCATAAAATCACACAGATAAAGTCATATATATATATTATATATAATTATATCACCCTGATATAATCATGAAAGATAATGACTTTGCTGAAGTCTATCAGATGTACTTCTGCTAGACGAAGGTCACTGCGGTGCTCTTGCTGTACAAGTCAAGAGCTCATTTCAACCACTGAGCAAAGTTTTTCATTACTCATATTAGAGGAAACTGGTCTCAAACTGGTGTAGAGCAAGTTTGCCAGGGTGGTCAAAAGAACAGATAAGCTTTGCCTAGACAAGAAGAGGACCCTTGGTTAACCTTGGAAGAGGTAGACTAAGAGAGATACAAGGTTTGTTTCCACAAATATTTTGCAGAGGCAGTAAAAGAGCTATTTAAGCAAAACGACAGTGTTAACTTAAGAATAAGTGGATAGAAACAGGCCACAATTATATGCAGCCTGAAATTAGAAGAAAGCTTCTAGCCTGACTGCACAGAGGTTTTGGAACATAATTTTAATGACAGCAGTGAAGACAAAGAACTTAACGGGATTTTGATCACTTTGCAAATGGCATAGCAGGAGGAGGTTGCCTGGAATAGTAAGAGAACAAATGCAAGAATCAGGAAATGTTTTCCATTCCTAATTTAAAGGAAAAAAAAAATTGTTCACTGAAACTTGGCAGAAGCTATTTAATGCTGTGTTTTAATGGCTGTCTTTGTTATTTCATGAAATGTACTTAAAAGGATTGTTAAAAGAAAAACCTTTCTGTTGAAAGACAACATGGTGTTTTTATGAAGTAAAACAACAAGTATCCTGGAATCCTAGCCAGCATACTGAAAGCCCATTAAAATAAGTAGCAGCAAATTCATTAGGAACAGTGATAACTATAAAAATGAAGCATTATTGCAACAGCCTAAAATAAATGTATTCTGGAGTTATGTATTTTGGTAAAATTGATGATAGGAAAAACCATCTGTGGTTTGGACAGTGGATTGGGAGTTAACAGTTCAGTTCCTGAACCTGACATAAACTTTAGGGAAGCCATTCATTCTGCTGCTTAATTTGCTAGCTGTAAAAGTAAAATAATCATCTTCTTTTCCCTTGCCCGATATATATCAAGGTCTCCACACCTGGAGATGGTGACTGTTGAGAACACCAGGGCTGCTTCTCATATTACATTTCTCATGTTGCTGTGACCAGCAAATCGATCATGCAGGATGACTTTGGCTCTGCTGGTTTATTCCCACTGTGCTGGCTTCTAGCAACAGACTGAGCAGCGCTTTTACAAGTAAAATCACACTACAACTTGGAATCCAACCACAGCAGAAGTCAACCTTTCTATATCAACCTGAAACATCAAAGCTCTGGCTTGTAAATGAATCATAGGTAAATGGAAGACAATGCAACTATAACCACTCCACATATGGTCAGTCACAAACTCTGATATTAATAACTGCCAGTCTTCAAGTTCAAAGGTCCAGATAAGTCACACTTTTAAGATCTAAGTAAAAAATAAAATGTACATTAACTTCATTTTTAATATCTTTTCATAGAATATACTCTTTATTTTAAGACATCTCTTTGAATGCTTGTTTTATACAACTTCTGTACCTCCCACCAACGTAACAAAAGGAAATGGGATAAACCCCAACAATTTCAGTGTAAGTAGAAAACCTTGCTGCATGTCTGAAGAAGTTTATGTGAAAAACAAATATTACCATATTAACATAAAGGCTGATTTTTTTTTTAGTCCATATTTTGTCATGAAAGGCCTTTCATAATTCTCTTGCTTATTATTATTTTTGCAACCTATAAGGAAATCTATTCTACTTCCTGTGAATTGAACACCTACAAACTTTTATCTTCATTTTAAAAAGCCCAGCAGCTATGAATTAATAAGCCCCATTTAACATTTAACATGATGCAGGACACATTGTACCTAGCTGGTATGCAGAGAGCAGAGTTTTATTATCTCCCTTCTGCCAAAAAATCCAGTGAAGAGATGAAGCAGCTCTTTCGATAGATCTGGAAGACTGCCCATGTTACACAACATTCACAACATTTTGGGTTACTGCTCAATGACTATGTGAACAGTGCAGATTAATCCCATGCAGAAAAGAAACAAACAATGCTTATAGTTGTGCAAATCAGAAAGCAGCCACTCACAGTAACACTGTGGGGACTATTTTATACAAGGGAAACAGACAGATAGACATTGCCTTTTTGCATATGAAGTTGGTTTGTCATGCATTGCACACAGGCCAAATGTGCAATGCATGACAAACAAAGGAAATACTTCAGGTCTTTGTGCAAGGCTTTATGTAAATAACACCAAACTGACAGCTTCAGGTAGTCACATGTCATTAAGCTTTATCAGAAGCATTCCTGACTTTACAGATCCAATCCTAAAGGCAAAAAACGTTCACTTAGGTCTCCTGAACCTAGGAAGAGTGTTGGTGAATAAAGAGGAGACAAAGACTAAAGAGAAAGGGTCTTCCTGCATACAGCTCTTTGTACAACTGGAATTTGCAATTTGAAAATTCAGTCACCACAGGCTGCATCCTTGGTGAGAGTATACCAATCTCTCTCTTTTAAGTCAACCATGCTTGAGGAACTGAAGTGCATCAAATGCAACTCAATGAGAAAGCAGGTCAAAAGTTAAATCTATCACAATCTCCAGGCACCAGATTCCAACAAGCATGTTCTCAAATTATGCTAGAGAAAAAAATCATGAAAGGCGATGCAGCACCAAGATACAAACTGCAGCTCATGTAGCTTCCACGTTCCAGCCTCCAGGAAAAGCATGGCAGATACCTACTGCTATGGACAGGTCTTCTAGCAGTTTTCCCTCAGCCATTGGGCTACAATCCTAATTGGAAACAAGTTGCTGAGGCAGATGGACCTTGTCTGCTTTCATATGACCATCTTTAGATCTTCTGGAATGAGTCCACAGAAGAGCCATAAAGATCATCACAGGGTTGGAATTGTATGAAGACAGGCTGAGAGAGCTAGGACTGTTCAGTCAGCAGAAAAGAAGGCTTGCTGGAGACCTTACAGCACCTTCCAGTACCTAAAGGGGGCTACAAGAGAGCTGGAGAGGGACTTTTGACTAGGATACATACTGACAGAACAAGGGGGAAAGGCTTTACACTGAAAGAGGGCAGATTTAGATTTAAGATGTTTACATGCAAACACTCTTCCTAACATTTATTTGTTAGGAAGAAATTGTTTACTCAGAGGGTAGTGAGGCACTGGAACAGTTTCCCAGAAAAGTTGTGGATGCCCCATTCCTGGAAGTGTTCAGGGCCAGATTGTATGGTGCTCTGAACAACTTGGTCTAGTGAAAGGTATCCCATGAGCTCCCACGGCAGAGGGGTTGGAATGAGATGATCTATAAAGCCCCTTCCAACCCAATGGTTATTCTATGATTCTGTGATTTTTATGTTTTTATTTTCTCCAAGTCTGTTCACACACACACACACAAAAATAGACACACAATATGCTTTTTCAAAGGGTCAACACATGGTTTAGTAGAAATCAGCGATAACTTTGTAAAATACTGCCAGCCTTGAGGGGCTTACACAAAAAATGACTAAACAAAATAAAAATCTGGAAATAGGAGAGGCAGAAGAGGAAGCTTATTTTACAAATTTTTGATTAGCTAATTTGTTTTGTAAAGTTGTTGCCATAATTGGTAGGGGTGATATTTTTGCATTATCAAGAATTCTTTGCAGGATTCAAGCTCCTTTGCCATAGGAAAATTTAAGCTCTAAAACTGCTACAAATTGCATCAGTACAGTATTCAGCATGTTATACCCTCTAAGACTGGAATTTCCTTGCAGTTTTTTTTCTCTTCTGGTGTTCCTCAATATTAGTTAGCATAATGGACATTGCAAGCGTAAACTGAACCTGCTGATGAAAAGATGGAGAGCTCTCCCTCCTACATCAAAACTCAGGAAAGGTTTAGGAAAAAAATCAAGGCAGTGTTTTATCTACTGCAGCATTGAGACTTCTTTCCCTCTGCTTATATGGGAATAACCTGAAGAAGATTCTCAAAATATTTCCTTGATCTTGGGAAATCTCTGGAGTGACACAACATCCCACTCTGGTGCTAATCCCATGAACTACCATTTAATTTCACAGCCATAAGGTCTAAACCATGAACATAACTTCAGGGGAGCTGCATCTGCCCTGGCTTGCAACAGGATTCTTGATGGCACACCTACAAGTGCTTGCTAAACTTTCTTTTCTAAGCTGTCTGGCACCAGCAGTGGGACGGGGACCAAGAACATATGATAAAGGGCAATGTTCTTCCCTTTGGCCAAACGTCTGCTCCCACCATGTGAATCTGAGATCCTTTTGGCCTACCCTGGGCCTGGGAGAAGATACAGCTCAGCCTTGAATATTCTCCCTGCCTTTACATAGTAATGAAAAAATCAATGACCATAGTAAAAGTATTAGTCTATCAGGGTGTTCTGTACCACAAGAACAAAATTCCTGAGAATCTCATGCCATGCTACAGACAAAAAGACAGAAGAGCCTGTTGGTTATAAAGCATGCTGTTAATCTTTGCTTTTTATCTTCCTCTCACAAGCAAAACAGTTCCAGCTCTAGGAATTTTACATAATTAATTTCACTGCCAATTAAAATAAAATTCTAATTACTGATTCAGATATTGGTGGGGGATTAACTTCTCCTCCTTCCTAGCCTGAATTTCCCTTGTTTTCTATCACCCTCAGTCTGCTGGAGGACAGGCAGCTCAGGCAGCTGGGGTTAGGCAGCTACTCCTTTCTGCTGTATCTCCTTTATTCCTTCTCCCCACATCTTGTTCTTCCTGTCCTTCTGAGGACCAGGAGTGGTCCCACAGATGCGTCCCTAGTGATGGTCCCTTTCCAGATGTCCCCTCCTGCTTGCTCGTGGCAGCTGTTCTTCCCCAAGCACACGTGGGCCTGGCAGTGGGGGCTGCTTACTGACACCCTCCATGGGGCACCCCACAGCCTCACTCAAACCTCGGAACTTACACCACAAAACTCGCTGACAACAAAACCCCAGAAGCCAGAGTTGTTGTAATTTCAGAAATCACACTGCGAGCCCTTCTTTTGAACCAGCAAAATAAGGAAAAGGAACGGCGAGAGGCCAAAACACGCATTGCCCAGGCATCTCCGAAAGCTGCAGCAGCTGGGCTGCTAACGCACACGGCTGACATCAGCCAGCCTCGGTTTTTGCAAGCAACTCCTTCTGATTTTTCCAGACAAAATCAGTTTTAGCTTCAAAATCCAGTTATCCAGGTGGGTATCTCTGGTTTGGGGAAAAAGAGGGGGTGTTTTAAGCATGGGGAAAATGCACTGGCAGGGTATGGGAAGGGAATGTTGCATCCGCTGGGGTTGCAGTTGGCAGAGTTACACCAGCAGGACTGTGAATTTTGTGCCAGTAAAACTTTCAGGGTAATGCTCCAAAAGTAATAGCTGTAAATATTTATATTTTATGCTTAAAAAGCCTGACTGCACAGAACTGCTAGATGCTGGTGCATGCACTAGAGGGATAGGAGAAGGGGAAAAATGTCAAGGCCCAACACGTTGTCTGCTAAGGTCCTTCTAAGGTAAATTTTCTGTAGCCTGTTAGCAAGAAATCGTCTGTTTTAGAGAGAAGCACGCATTGGAGTGTTTTGTTTTCTCAGAGAAGCGTGGAATTTGAAGCCAGGTCCTTTGGCTTATCTGTTGTAAACCATGACTGTTTCTCAGCACCACACCACTCAGTATTTCCTAGAGAAGGGATTCTGAGAAAAAAGAAAGAGCCCCAGTTCCCTAGAAGCATTAAATTAACACAAGGGATCTGTAAACGAAACAGCAGAGGTTTGAAAGCCTTACCCTTTACTGTTTCCTGCTTTCTTGGAAAAATCTCAGTATTAAAACAGATTGGATTACATTACAGGACTAGTTGCTGCTGAAGAATTTTATTTTGGGTTATAAAACACAATGTTTGCTGTTTTTCTAATTCAATTTGCTTTTACCTTCCTTATGTCACACTGTTGGTAAGGCTCCTGTGAGAAAATGCAGGTTGTTATTGCCTGCAAACTACCCCAATTATCATCCGCTCTCACTTTGTAAAGTAACATGGGTAGAAACTGTGTAGTAAATATAACGCTGATCTAAAGAAGTATGTTATGATTTTAAATCCATTTACAGCTTTTGCTTTGGCCATATAAAAAAATGACATTAAGAACTTGTTTCCCCAAAAATCCACAACCCTAAAAGGTTAACAAATCTCTAAATTAAAACAAACATTAGTACTAACGCTACCAACCAGTTTACATCTCTGAATTATAAAATGTGAACAAGTGATCTTGCAAATTTTATTTTCAAGGGCTTTTGCCTTTGTAGTGAAGTTTTCAGCTAGAATAACATCATCAGCAGCCTTGTGTGGACTCCGAATAATTTCACCACAAACGGCTGACTATAACTGCAGCCCTATGCCTGCAGTCCTGACAAGGAAGACTCACATTTAATACAGTGTGAATTTTTGCCAAGTGATAGCTACTGGATCAGGCTTCCTGGATAGGATAAAAATATAAAACAAATTTTTATTTCACGTTTAAAAGTTTTAAGTAGGTGAAGTGAAAATCCTTGGCTCTCCAAAATTACATCAAAGATTGAGGGAGGAAAAAACCAGGAGATTCTTGGTAGCAATATATTTAGCACCTTTCTTGGAATGTAATTGTTACTGGAAACTTTGGGGGTGTATCCATATGCATTAACCACTCTTATACAGTAAAGTCTGGTTTCTGAACTCATAGAAGTATTACACAATATTCTAACTACCTCAAGAGGCCTGATAATAAAATCACAGCATTTCACAATAATTCTAAAGATAAAGAGAATAATCAATTTAAGCTGGAAAAAATATTCTATTGCATATGTTACTGCAATTACAATTTCTCTGCATACTGCAGTGATGCTTCTCACATGGCAAGTATGATCAGAGTTAAAATATAAAAGTGGCAGGCCTAGACAAATAATTGACTCTGCCAAATTTACATATGTGTGTAAAAATTTGATTTAGTTTTATGTCTTTTTCTAAGTATTCATGGGCTATATGAAAAATGGGGGACAAAGGGAAGTTGCAGTGAAAACAAATGATGCAGCTCAGGATCAGATTATTTTTCCTGTTGTCTCTTAATAATATGCATCTGTTTGGTTTCATCTTCCTCATGCCACCTGTAAGCTAAAACAGTGAACTTTTAATGAAGAACCATTTTTAAAAATGATGCCATAATGCCCGTAAACAATCCTTTTTGAGATGGCTCAGGACAGCACAGAACTATCAGATCTGAAAAAGAGGGAGCTGTGTGACTGAAAATCTATAGCCACTGTCCAGTCTGTTCTGGAGTGTTTATAAGCAGTTTTGTTTAAAGGTAAGAGAACAACAGGACAGTCCACAAAAATCCTATACATTCCTCTTGACAACTACCACCACCTTTTTTAAAAAAGGGCATGCATCAATCTAAAATCAAACTGCCGAGCCCTTTTTAAGCTAGACAGGAAGAAAATATAAATGACATGGACTAACTAATGAAAATGATGCCAGAACTCTACAGATTTTTAAATTATTTATTCTGGTTCTTCTTACATACTAATGTAGTTTCTAATATCATGAGCAGAAAATATAGACAACCAAACACACAGTTATTACAGTATTAAACAAATACTTCAAGTGTAAAAGTTTCTGCATTTCCAACTGAAATACTATGATCTTTTTCAAAAAATTAAATACAAAAATGATGGCTCAGACTTGCCTGCAATTTTCAGGTGACTTAAAATGACCTGCAAAATAAATTAAGATACTATTCACCAAAATGAATTCCTAGTTGAGTATTCAGATCAAACAGCAACAAGGACAATAGCTCATATTATCTTTTGAACGCAATTTTAAAACTCAGGCGCAGAATTATAGTAATTTTGAGAGCAGAAGGAATAATTATGGTTCATACAGAAGTCTTTCTGTCTCCCAACTGCCCATGTATGTATTAAGTTTATTATAAAGTAACTAAGTACTTGCTGAAGCAGAAAAAAAAATTGAGTTTTGTTGTTCAATACACAGTATGCCTGTTCAGCTCTTAACACTTTCAGATTTATTTTCTTTTACTTCATCTCCTTCAGAATACATTTCCCACTGACCATCAGATATTTCGAAGTACTGCCACTGTCTGCCTTGGGACATGAGGGGTGCTCCTTATTATAACAACTAAGTCCCAACTGCATTAGAAAAAGCCATTAATGGACTAAAAGTATGCCAGGCTGTCACAACCAATAAATATCTATGTCTGAATGTTTTTAAAGGAAGTTAATGTTAAATCTAGGTACTCTGAGTCGCAATTCAAATAGAAAGGAAACTGTCTGAATTCTTCCCTCTCTTCTAGAATGCAATCCCTACAAACTTCTGGGAACTATGGATTTCAGGAAAGTCAGACCAATGTTACACAAGCATATTGAACTTTATGGAAATAAGTTATTTTAAACTCTTTGTAAGTTTCTACATCCACTTATTCTTTATATAGATATACATGTGGGTAGTTGTGCATACACATGTACTCTAGATATCTGCATACATCTGACTTCTTAAAAAAATCTTAAATATTGATCAGATATTTTGTGATTAACCTAAGTGCCAAGCTACCCACAACAACAACAATAAAACTATTCTCAGAAAGGATTTTTCTTAAGCTTTTGTAATATTTGCAGAAACAGTTCCATATTTTTAATATTTATAGCTAAAAAATATTCCACAGACAGATTTATGTATAAAACACAGACATACTACATATTCAGTAAAAATCTTAAAAATAAATATGATTAGTGAATATGGTACAGTATCAGCTATTTTATATAAACATTCAAATTTTTAGACTATTATGCTTTTCTTTTTATAAAGAGGCTGTGCTAACAAATAGGTTTTAAGAACTTACCAAATATACAAAATATATTTATTTTGCAAATAATATGCTTGGAGGAATAGACTCCTGATTTAAATGTGGATGATATGACAAAATATTCGCTTTGAGAACAAGGAGTGACAGAATTAGAAAAGCAAACTCATTCTGTCTGAAATATTTAAGCAATTTAGTGTTCCTAGTCTAAATCCTACTCACAGTACAAAATAAGAAAACAAGTCAATAAAGCTTGACAATGAAGCCACAGATAGTGCTGTAACTGATAGCCTTGGGTGCAAAGGAATAAATGGCTTGAATGCAGAACATGGACAGATTTTCACAGATAGATGGCCCACTTATTTAACTGCTTTCAGTGGGACTATGACAATTTAAACCAGCTGAAGGTCTACCCCACCATTTTCTTGTTCAAACAATTCAATATGATCCCTGCTTCAGGGAGAAAGAAGGACAAGATTTCTAATAAAAGGAATACGACCACCTGATTTCGTGTTTTCTTTATTTTTTAAAAAGGCAGAGCTTTAAAAGTCAATAATAATATCCCATTGTAGATGTGGGACTGAAATCAATAAAACACAGTAAATTCAGTTATGGGAAACAGCTTTGCATGGTTTTAATTATATTTTCCTAGAAAGGCTTATAGAATGTTATTGATATTTGACCTGGAAAGTTCTGTTTTCTATTACAAAGTACATAATATCAATACAGCACCATATATGTCTGCATTCAAAGTCTTTAACCCTTTGCAGGCCCCAAATGAAAGGAGAAGCAGGTGGATTTTCTTTTCTTTTTTTTTAATCTGGGGAAAACAGATGTCATCAAACATGTCACCTGTCATAAAGTATTAATCCTCCGCTGAAGTAAAGAAGTAATGAGGTCTGAAACACCATCACATTCTAGCATGATGAAGAAAGAGCACAGACAATTTCTCTATGATGGTAGTTTTTATGTTAACTGCTATGATATCTTTTATTTTACAGATGTCTCATTCTCTCTCTCTCCTAAAGCTGGCTCATTTGCCTGGCATCCCTGGAAGCCTCTGCCTTATGTCACTTTCCTAAGTGCACATACCAGCTGATTGAATCCTTTATTAAATTAGATACTGAAAAAGAAAAGAAAAGAAAAGAAAAGAAAAGAAAAGAAAAGAAAAGAAAAGAAAAGAAAAGAAAAGAAAAGAAAAGAAAAGAAAAGAAAAGAAAAGAAAAGAAAAAAAAAAAAAAGAAAAGAAAAGAAAAGAAAAGAAAAGAAAAGAAAAGAAAAGAAAAGAAAAGAAAAGAAAAGAAAAGAAAAGAAAAGAAAAGAAAAGAAAAGAAAAGAAAGAGAAAAAAAGCCATATAGTATGAGCAAAGGAATCCAGTTTCTCAGAACTATAACTTTCAAATCCATCTGGTCTGGGAGGAGGACAATAAAAATACATGGAAAATGATTAAGAAATACTCCACAATAGCCACTCTAGCTAGCTACCATGGGTCCTGTGGGTCCATCCACCCTGTGCATTCATACCACAGCTAAGCAGCTCCAGGAGATGCATAAATGAATATCATTGCCTCCAGTGAATGTAAGAGAAAGCCGACCAGCAGTCACTCGCCCAAGGCGATGCTTAAAATCACCGTTAGAACTGGGAATAAAATTCCCAAATCATTCTGCTTTCCTGGTTTAGGCACTTATTCAGTGAATTGCAGCACAAGGAAAAAAAAAAAAAAACCAAAAAAACCCCCCCAAAAACCAACAAAAAGCACACAGATAAAATTAACACTTTGGTGTAAATGGAAAATTATTTCAAGACAGTAGCATAGTGACTAGGCTAACAACAGCCAAATAAATGCATTTAGAGCTCAATCAGAGTTTCCACCTAAAATGGGACTGCTGATAATCCCTAAAGAAAAGTGGGTAATTTAAAAGCCCTGGGCATTATGAGGACACTTGTTCAAGAAAAATGCAGGCACACTGTGGCCAACAGTAACCTCTTCATTACTTACAGTATATATACTCTCTATATACATGTGTTTGTACACACACACACACACACACACACACATATATACACACTCTCACACAGACACAGAATACAGCTCTCCAGCTCTCCGTGATGATTCAGTAAGGTTAGAAGTGAAAAGGAGCTGCACAGTACTTGCAAGGATGACAGAAGTGAATGGAGACAGCAAGGCTCGGATGCATGCCCCAGTCAGACATCTGCAGGATACAGAAAATCAGAGCTATAAATATAGGTTAGAAATACACAGGAGTCACTGGTGCAATAGGCCAAGGGAGTTTTTTCAACACCTTGGCATGCTACATGGAATGATCTTTAAAATACATTAAAAGGGGAATATATAGTGAGAGTGAAAAGGCAGCATGTAAATGATTAAAGAAAACAATCTCCCACCCAGTTAATGCTCTGTTGGGTTATGTCCTGCACCAACACAGCTTCAAACTGATACCAAGGGGGCACCAACACACAAAGTGATTTTTCTTCCTCTTTTTCCTCTTTTCTTTTTTGTTTTAAATATTAAAACAAGGTTTCTTAAGAACCACAATTAAAATGCAACTGTTAACTCTAAGAAGGCAGAGAAGGAATTTTTCATGAGTGAAGTTTTATTCATAACTCAGTAATCCAGGGATTCTTTCATGTTTCTCAATAAGCTTTAAACTAACCAACTCGATATTTGGATGGATGGCACATCTGGGAGTGTTTTGAAAATGCCATTTACTGAAAATGTAAGCAAAAGGCTCTTAGGATAGTTTTTTGATGCTTGAGGAGGAAGTCCTTGGAGAGACCCTATAGAGTGATAGAAGGACAGGGACTAAATTCATCAGTCTTAAAGAAGAAGGGAGTGTATTGCCCTCAGACCGTGACAGAATCAGTCTTTACAAGTGTGAGGTGTATGGCATTTGGGTAAACACACTGGATCAAGCCAAAACATAAACTAAAGTGGAGATGAGACCACATAGGGGGCTCAGAGACAACTCAAAAACAGGAGATGGCTTGTGACTTGCAAGACAGGATGTAAAAGGCACAGTTAAGCCTGGGTGAGAAAGCCAAGTAGGAATGCACAGAGTTACCAGATCCTATAAAGAATACAAATCCTGCTCATTTACCACAAACAAATGGAGATCTGCATGTCAAAGAAGGGATGAATGAATTGGGGCAGCAAGACTGCAGTCTGAAGAGGGAGCTAACAAGCTCCAGAAAGCGTTGACACATCCCACCCTCACCTTTGCTACTGACCCAGCACCAGTAGCTCTTTCTACACAGGAAGAACGCTTTCAGTTGAACACCTGCCTAAATGCCCATCTCCTGGCATCACTTTGCCAAACATGCTGCCCCTGGTTTTCATGAAGAAAAAGCCCTACATTCTCCATGAAGAGGAAAGGCAGAAGAGAGGTGAAAATGTTAACCCTCAAGAGTTAGAAAGTAAAACCATGCATTGTCCCCTGCGCCATAATTGCAGCATGCCCCAAATACCCCTCCAGGACATGCCAGGAAGAAAGGCAACTGGTCTTATGCACTGCCTCAGTAGAATGCTGATTTCTGGGATCCTGGTTTGGCACCCAGACAAAATTTAGTCATGGTCCAGATAGAGACCAGAGTTCCCCATTTAAATCTCTCTTCTGCAGGCACAATTGCCAATGTGAGCAATCATCTAAATCCCATTTTCTTTGGTAAGATTTTTAGGACGAGAACAATAAGATGGCATGTGTGACTGCAACCCATCTCAGCCATCCGTGGGAACAGAGCAAACAATGAACTTTTTTACACAGTTTTTTGCTCTTGACTTAAAAGCAGAAATTCCTTTTTCAAACAATTTTTATGGATAGTCATTGTGACCTGGACAAGATTAAACTATATAAACTATAGATTAGTTTGGAAAATTCAACTGTCATAAATCAGTTGGATCAGAAATTCTGAAAAAATAACATAAAGCAGCAATGGTGCTTGTTGACAGAGCAAACTGAAACCCTTTAAAAGAGCAACTATTCCTGAAACATCAATTATGTACTGTCAGTTTTAGTAGCCAATTCAAGACAGAACATGAGAACACCAGATGTTACCAGCTGCAAATCTTATCTCAGTCCCAGAGGAAGAGGGAAAGACAAAAGCTTTAGATTATGTGCAATATACCAACAAATCAACAACAGGTTGAGTAAAGAAAGTGGAGGTTTAAGCAGCTACTGAAACCATGAGCTCAGCTGAATGACAATGTGTATGTCACATTAGTTTCCTCTTTTGCAAATGCAATAGAAGGTGTTGATCACAATCTTCTGAAAGCTTTAGAAACCTGTGCTGTAGTTAACAAAGATTCTGTGGTAAGTTATGAATACCTGGGGTTCACCTGGTGTTAAACCCCTCTCCAGCAGCAAGAGGTGCTTTGCAAGAAAAATTCAAATCTTTGGAAAGCCTATCCTCTGAAACATCATGATCTTTAGTATTGTAGCAGTCAGCTGTATTTCCATTTATGATTTTTGAACACTAACTACTGTAAAAGCTTCAAAGCCTAACAGTAAAGTGCTTACACAAGATCAAAGCTTTCAAGGTTTTTATTTATGTACTTGATAAAAAAATATATCATTGCTAGTCTTTGAGATGCCTGACAGCTATGTTCCTTTAACAAGAGCTCGTTCTCTAGTTCCAGTGCTTGATGGGAATGTGAGAGATTTCTACTCTGAGATGTTACCTAACACTAACTAGTCTAAAGTTCAGATTTCCCCTATATGTTCCTTAGGCCAGGCCACAGAGTTGACCTGAAAACTAGCACCTTCATTTTAAGATATATATAATAAAAGCCAGCAGGTGATGCAGTGACTTCTACTCCACAGGCAAGGTTCTTTACAACAATTTAAATAAATTATTAGCAAATTAAAAGATTTTTCATTACATCATCCAAAGGTCCTTCACTATTTTCCTTTACAGATTACAATTTACCTTTTTTACCATAGTAAGAACAAAAGCAGACAACAAAAGGGCAACAAAAAGGCAGCCTTGCCTAATTCATAGAAATGTGTTTATTTACCAAAAAACTTTGATAAACAGGTATTTTCTACTTGTGGTTCATATTTCTGATGGTAAAATAAAAATAAGAACTTTGTATATCAAGAGCACCTTTTCCTTAATATTCCTTTGAAATGGTTCATTTGCACTCAGAAAAAAACACAGCAATAAAAACAACCCAAAACTTAAATCTTCAGCTTGCAGAAGAGTTATCACTGGCTTTATCTTCAAACAAGAAAGATCCTTTAAAGTTCCATTTCAAGACTTTGTAATGAATCCACACCAATTATTGAACTTTAATTGAAACTGTACAAAATAGCTGCAGACAACAGACAAACTTCAGCTTTTCCTCTGGATTTAGTCATGAAGAAAACTACCCTGAAATTAAACTCTGCTGCATTTTACAGTGTAAATGTAACAGACACACACTTTCTGTACCAGGAAAAAGCTCCAGCTGCTATGTACTGCTAGTTCAAGTGCAAGACTATGCTCACCAGGGTGCTGCCTAAAGCAAAACACCCAACTTGTACAGAGAGAAAAAAGTAAGTGATGTAAAACAATTCTAAAGACAAGCCATTTACCTTTCTTCAGTACTGAATATCATTCACTTAATGCAGATTTCCCCTTTAGAAAACATAGCAACAGTTTCAGCTGTTTTTCTTCCCATGGTCAAAGGTTCACCAGCCAGCCTTAGTACACCACAAGGTAAGAGGATTATAGTCTGCCAGCAGCATCAATTCTCTTGAATAGCCTAATTTTAGTTACTAAAATATATTCCTTTTCCATAGGAAATAAACTACTTAGGTATGTATATATATTCTGAATTCAAGCTACCAAAGTAGGGTGACCCACTCAAAGCTGAGAACACCTTTCATCACTTCCTCATAACCTGTAGGCAAAAATAAGTGTAGAATCGGTTGCAGTTCTGTCAAATCGCTACATGTTTTCCGGCATTGTCTGCAGATGCCAATATTTATTTTATAAATCTGAAATGGTTGGGGAAAACTTTGTAATAGGACATTTCCCATATCTTAATCCTTAATCATACCTTGTTTTAAGTGATTGTCCTCTGCCTCTACATCTGAGGTGGTTAATTTTGGTGTTCCAGATGTGGCATATGCATTTTGTTCACATACATGCTGAATTATCACTTTGCATCAAAATAATTATGACTGTGATGTTAAAAGACAGATTTTTTTTTATTAGCTACCTCCAGTCAAATGAAAAAATCAAACTGAGTAGTAAAACCTATGCCATAAAAGGCAGTCACTAAAAACACTGGGATTAAATGCTCAATCTCAATTTATCCATTCCTAGACCACTGTTCTGACTGGATTTTCTACCTGGGTCAGGCATCAGAGGGCTAGATGTGGGGAAACCAAGAAAATTACTGCATATGACTATCAAGGTAAAAGAGAGGCTTGAGGGTCAAGATTTTCAAAAAATGTAAGAACAGAGGGCCAAAGGGGAGTTTCAAACACAGCATCTATGATGCCATTTTTCTCTGTCTGGAGACAGGACAGTAAAATGGAGTGGAAAGAGGTCCTATCACACTGTTAGGATTCTCCCAGTCCAGCTTCCTTCTCACGGCACTTTGCATATTCATCTTGACAGAGCCTGGCAAAGGTTAACAATAGGTTCCTTGACACCATGGGTGTATCAATTAAAACAGACCCAGCATAGCTGTCCTTTCACTCTCATCCCAGTGGTTATACCACAGAATTGCTGAACAAAACCTCAGGCATCTCTCTTTTTATAGCTAAGACCTGATGGGCTAAGAAAGTTTTCTGAGCAACTGCAAGTCTACTATAGGTGAAGGAATATTATAAATAATATAATAGATCCTACAGGTGGGGAAAAATCATCAAAGCCTTATACATCTCTGCAACTCCAAGGCAAAGCAAAAAACACTGCTAAGTTTGTAATGCAGCTTTTCTGAGCAACTGCAAGTCTACTATAGGGGAAGGAATATTATAAATAATATAATAGATCCTACAGGTGGGTAAAAATAATCAAAGCATTACACATCCCTACAACTCCAAGGCAAGGCAAAAAACACTGGTAAATTTGTAATGCAGCTTATGGGATTTGTGCAGGATGGGATGGGATGGGATGGGATGGGATGGGATGGGATGGGATGGGATGGGATGGGATGGGATGGGATGGGATGGGATGGGATGGGATGGGATGGGATGGGATTAGGATTCCATCTTGAGAAAGCCCTTTCTTTAAAACCAAGATGAGGAAATCTGTAAAGCATAATATGAGGAGTAAGCCCATCAGCTGTGGTCAAGAATCAGTGGGTATTGCTACACAGCTGCAATGATGTAAGGAAAAAGCAGTAACTGTAACAGTACATTAGAATTTGCATCTGATATATAACATCCTGGAAAAGATAAAATATCATCTCGGCAAGCTGGAATGTCACCTCTGCAAAAGAAAGATGAACACTTTTGTAGGTTACTTCAGGGTCATTTTTTGACAGTTTTTCCCACAAGGAAGAAATAATATCCAAAACCTGAAACACAGTGTCCCATTTCAATGTCAATTCCTAATAACCATGTAAATAACTCACAGTAGTACCCCATGGTGAAGCAAAGCAGACAGCTCTTTATACTTTATATATATTCTATGTGCTGGTGACTTTTTCTTAACCTTGTGATACCATTGGACTCAGAAGGTGGTAAGTAAGCATATGAAGTAATAATGTACTCACTCCAAATACCCTTATGAAGGAAGAACATGCAATCCTAGGGAAATATCCAATTAATAATTTTGCTTTTAGATCACTAAAGATGCAATACAATGACAGTCTTTTTACTCACAGAAATTACATTAAGCTTTTCTCTGGTATGTATGACCAATGTGCTTTGCATGCCAGAATTAAATCCACATATTATAATGTTGACTCATATATAAAATGGTTATGAACAGGAAAATAGTAAACTGAGAATGAAAAATCTCTAGAATGGGGAAAAGGCTCAAAAGTTGTGGTGTAGGCATGACTGGAATTGAGTAAGGAGAAAGGAGGCTCTTAAGAATTCATGTAAAGGGGGCATTAATGTAAAGGGGGCATCCATGTAGAGGGTATAGGATTTTATATCCTGCTCCCATATTAGTTTACTCAATAAAGCACAGGACCTAATCTATTCAGAGTAGCTCTTCATTTTTAACATGATGATATAAATGCACAAGATTAAATTAGGAGTCTGAGTAACTAAATAGTGATAGCTCTATGGGAAGAAAAAGGCTTGTGGAAACAGCTTGTAGAGTCAACAGGAACTGAGCCATAATAAAAGCAAAAAGCTACACTTACAGCACAGAACAGGAAAAAAGTATTTTGTTTATTGGTACATATCCAAGAGGTGTACAAATGTTAGCTGGTGCCAAATCAGAAGGGTAATTAATGCCTGGAAGTACAGAATCTCTTACTACTCCCTCTTCCCAAAGAACAGGCATGCTTTGGGACTCTGCCCACTTTGATGCTCCAGGATTGATTAATTAATTAATTTAAATTATTAGATCCCAAATTCCAGGACTTCTAGTATTTTCCAGCCATGTGTGGAAAGAGTTCATAATTAACCCACAGGCAGTAATGCAAGACAGTGATGAAGTCTGAAGAGCTCTAGGCTTGTCTGGATATGTTGCTGACAACTGTCCCAGACAATGTTGCTGACAACTGTCCTGGAATGAACCTATGAGTTTAGGACATCACACAAAAAATAGTGTTTGTCTGTATGTACATAAATGGGAGGGTTTGCAACTTTAAGTAGGCAGCATATTATTTAGTACAAGAAGTGCTAGGAATTATGATTGCACAAATAATTCACAACCCTACCAGGAACGATCAGTTGGCATGAAAGCAGTATCAAGACATGGACAGTCTATATATTTCTTCAACTTAGAACTCTGAAGATTTACAGACAAAAGTTACCCAATATTGGATCATATTTAACAAAAGCATGCTGAAGTTGAAAAGCCAAGATGTAGTTAGTGTACTTTGTCTTGAGGGGCAATATTATGAGAGCTAGACACTAACAAATACACACAATCTAAGACCTATGTAAAAGGCTTTCACACAAAAGCAAAAAGCTAGTTCTGTCTTTCCTAACACTTACAGGTAATTTAAACACAGAAGACTTACAGAGAAAATAATGGGATTACTGTTGCTTATTTTTCTTTAAGTCCCTAAGTAATGTCAGCAGTTGTCAGAGGACTTTAGAACTGGAAGAAACAATGTATTTGTGCATACAAAAGAAGAGAAGGAAACCCCAGAACAATGTATTTTTAATCAGACACGAAAAATACTCTGATACAGAAGGAATTTTAGCAAGTATATGAGCTACTGAGCAGTGAAAGCAAAAGCTGTTAAATCATAAGTTCAAGGCAGTAAATCACAGTTCCCTTCATACCTGGCTTTGTGGGGAAAAAAACAAAACAAAAAACAAAACAAAATTTAAAACAAACAAACAAACAAACAGGGAGAAATTCTCTAAACCAGAGCCTGGTATGCCAAGAATTTTGTAAAAGGGTGCACATACCAATGGCAAAATGAACATTGGTGTGCACATTTAATCCCACTAGGAATG